CTTTTGTTTTATTAACCATGGAATTAATTCACTAAGAAAGTGCATTGTATCACAAATTCAACGCCGCAAAAATTTCGAGAATCCGTCCACTACGAGCGGAGTTACGAAGATTTGTCACACGCTGCAATCGAATTCTCCCTTCTCTTGTCTCGACACAAGCGCTGGAAGCTAACCAGAGAGGGATGGGAGGGGCAAACAAAAACGTCACGCACGACTTGTGACCTTGAGCACTTCTTTTCTTTTTTCTTCGAATACGTGGCTTTTTCAGTGCGATCACATGCGCACGCGTGGACAAGTGACGGCCTTTGGCAACGACCGAGCGCGCCATGTTTGAATGAGCCAATGGCTGATAGATGGGCTTACGAGGGATTTTTTAGGCTTATTGCGTGATTTTTCGAGAGAAGAGAAAGCAATTTCTAGCTGACCTTGACAATTTATTGTGATTTCCAGACCGCGTACTGCGCTATAATATTTGGCTCGCGTGTTGTCGGGAGCCTCTCCTACCGACCGGCAGCATTTTCTCACTACATGCTCAAAAAGTGTTGCAGCGCCCCTTTAACGTGTGTTTTAAAAGAGAGTACATATGTTGTGGCAAGTGAAGACTTACCAAGAAGAGTAACAATTTCTCTTTTTGTTTCATCTATGTCGTATACGGAATCGTGCCGCGAGTAGCATTTGCAGGGGACGTTTCTCGTCCTACCAAGCAACTTTCGGGTCTTTGTAATTAGGCTTGCAAGCAATTATTCCAGCCAACAGAATCTCAATCGGCAGTGTCGCGCTATCATGCACAAGTTAAAAATAATTGACCACGGTCGGATGGCGAGCGCTGATTTTACAATTTGGTCCTAATTAGGAACTCGCTGCCTTGTAGCACACTGCATATGCTCACTCGGGGGGAAAAAAAAGTAGTCATTTGACCCTTTTCTTGGGAGTTCTGATTGTCTCGTGTATGACTCCCTTTGACGAGACACGTTAACTCTCTGTGGGTCACACCACTCTTCCTAAGAGAGTATCAATGATCTCCAAAGATAGTCTATGTGTGTTTGAAGATAGACAAATACGTGGCAAGCCATAACTATACCAAGAAAGAGTCAAATGTGGACTTTATGCGTATTCGGTAAGGTGAACTGATTTGTTAAATGATGTTTTTTGAACTAGCTTTTGTTTAAACTCCATCTAATACTCGACACAACTTTTTAGGAGTCACAATATCGGTAATAAAGATTCACAAATGCTGCTTGATCTTGTGGTTTATTCGCTTTGACCAATGTTTCACGAATATGTATACAGTCATCGATCCCATGTAATGGCTTGTAGTTATGTTTTATTATAATGAATATCATGCATGTTGGTGTTAGTTATTTGACTCCTCTTAAACGTTTGTTCGGGATACTCATTAGGTCAAACGCTCGGTGTGTATTTTCATTGCTCATTCTTAATGTTTCCTTTTTTAACAGGTGATGGAAGGAATTATTTACTTTTATTTACTATTGAGCGATGACAGGAATGTTTTTCTTCGTATTCCATAGCCAAAAAATACTTGTCATTGTCAACAGTGCTTTCAGAAAGGAAGATGGATGTGATCTCTACGTAACTAAATAAACAGCCGTGCGACTGGAGCAGCCGCAGAGAATGGTCGCTATTGCGTATGTATGTCACATTGCGGCTTACTTTTTGTCTGACGTTTTGCGCTGAAAATATATAGATAAAACGCTCCATAAAATACATTCAAGACATTATCAGTAGACAAAGTTTACCTGTACTATGATCTTATATACGTATTGTACGTAGCTACTCACGTTGATTTGTCCACGTCGGAGCTTTATGCACGACCCTGTTAACCATATAGTTCGCATTTCGTTCATCAGGAGCCGACAGCCAGTTGACGAATGTGCTTGGGTCATAAGAGAATTCTGTTTTTCATTGCTTCTTGCCGAATACCGTGCGCTACGCTTATTAACCCTGCGTAGCCTGTATGTTTGTTATTTCTATTATTATTTTATCTCATGTACCTTTAGTCGTCTCTGTGAAAGCTTCTTTTTGGCTCGGCATTATTCATCTCACCAGCTTGCGATGGCGTTGTTCCATAACTTAGAAAACTTTTCGTTTGTTTGTAGGCAAGCCGGAGACACAATGTGGCTGCAACACTCGCACGTCAATTCGACTCACTCACTCACTCACTCACTAAGAATATTTAATGTAAAAACTCATCAGACGCCGTAATTGCAATACTTTTTATTAGTAAGAGCTGTTCCACCTCTGGCGGGCTGCTATCGATAACAGGTCCAACATTATACCATTACCTGGAATTTGCTCTTACCGGAACTCTGCATTGTAGAGACTTTGTATATCGTTACGAGCCCTGAGCAGGACTCGAGTGCACTATAATATCCCTTCTCTGGACTCCTCGCCGAACAACCCTTTCGCTTGATGCGCGCCTGAGGACCCAGCGCATCTGGTCATAGGAGCACTTTTTTCACGTGACAAGTACTGGCATTATCCGCAGATCGCTTACGGCGCAGACAGCTCTTCTTCGCTTCCTGTGGCATCACCGCGAGGAAACGATGACACCATGCACTGCGTTGCGCTCAGCCGCACGAGCATCGTCGCGCGAATGCAGATAGCACGCGTATCTTCCAGCGAAAGCAGAGCGACGCAACCGGAAAACAAAAACAGGGGCGCATATAGGCAAGAAGGGAGGGTCCGCACGGGAGACGAAAAGCGCACTCCCGATGATTACGCCAGCGTGTGCTCTGCATGCCTCAGTCCCCCGGAAGCACGTGTATACGTGAAGAACAGTGGCGATAAGAAGAACGCTCCTTGTCCGAGTTCAAGTCGAAAAAAGAAAGTGAGGAAAGAAGAACGACGGAATTGAGCATGGCCCGTCCTAAACAGCTTCGAAGCATTTCTTTCACTCGGAAAGTACACCAGCGGTGAGCAAGAATAGAGAGGAGTATTGTGAGAGGGGATAGAATGAGAAAATAAATGAGCGAAGTTAGCGAGAGAACGGTGCACTGCGATGCTCGCGGCTGCGCTAAAAGCGTCCTGAGCCACGCAGGCCGAGCCAGCTGTTCACCACTCGATCAATGCACGCAAGAGTCGAGCCGTGCAGCCTCCTCCGCTGGTCCCATGAAGACGTTCGCATAGCTGTTCGCGCGATACACGTTCTGCGAAATTCCACGAGCAAGATTTATATTCTGCTCTTCATATCTGCAGCAGTGTGTGCCGTGCTCTGTTTACAGTATACGTCTTACGAACGTATACCCTTGTGACATGCGAGACAAAGCAATTGACGTGCGAGGCGAAGCCGATCATTTTGCCTTGTCGGCTCGCGTCGGAACTCGTACGACTAGGAATCGGGGAAAGTCATACTTGGACGTTCTCGGTTTAGCAGAAAAATAAGCATTGCTCGAAAGTGGGCACAACGTAGGAGAAGCCACAACGGAACATCATGATCCTCGGAGTTGTACACACGCGCAATCATTGAACAAAAGAGGCAATCAGTTCACTGAAAGTATAGAAGACTTTAATTGTTCCGTTCGGCTGCGATGCGCTAATTGTGACGTAATCCGAAATGAATTGAAGTAAACAAAAAAATCAACCTTTTCCTTCAGTGGGATCTGAATAAGTTGGTGATTCCCTTCGCTGCGAGTTATATCGGAATAGAATTCGGCGCACGTTATGCTATAGCATCTGATTGGACTTCCTTATGCAGACAGTGCTTTGAGCATCTTGATCGTGGTCAGCAGCTGCGCGGGATATTAACTTCTGTACTCCCGCACACTCCGTCGTACCACGGTCGGACTTTGGAAAGGCTGGCGAGCTTTCCAGCACGCCATTCTTGTCCGACTATGGCCGTACCAAGCGTATAATTGCTTGGTACGGTCATGACCAGGCAAGAAATGAGTTTTGAACAAGTGGCCTTGTCATCTTCTAGGCTAGAACTCTCCTAGTGGTTCAAAAAGGCAAGTTCACATCTGGAAAGGTCGGCTGGAGAACACAACTCTTGTTATTGGATATCTTCATCGCAGTCTTCCCCTTCCTGCTATTTATTGTGTGGACAAGCTAAGTCAGAGATGGTTGACGCTAAACTTTCTCCAAAACGTTGTCATTTTTTCATGTTAATGCTGCATTGTTTGTTTGAGCCCTGCAGAATATGGCGTATACCCACCACTCTGGGGGATTGGCCAAGATTTCGTAGTTGCGTTGTTAGACAGCGCGTTTCTTCTTCTTCTTCTTCTTCTTCTTCTTCTTCTTCTTCTTCTTCTTCTTCTTCTTCTTCTTCTTCTTCTTCTTCTTCTTCTTCTTCTTCTTCTTCTTCTTCTTCTTCTTCTTCTTCTATTATTATTATTATTATTATTATTATTATTATTATTATTATTATTATTATTATTATTATTATTAGGAACAGTAGTGGTAGCAGCAATAGGGTGTCAAAGTGGATCGATCACAACCTCTTGATTTTCTAACCCGAAACGACGAAGAGAAAGCGAAACGTTCGGAGGCAGAACTGGGAGACGGCTTAGCTAAAGTGCTCGGTCCACTCTGATGCACCGCGGAGTGCTATATTGTTGGAGGCTATAACGGAGTAGGGGTTTACCCTTTGGTGCCGCTCCAGAAGGATGGAACACTGCGGTGGCATCAACGCTATCGCACTTTGTTTCACAAACACGGTAGCTGCTGGCACGAGCATCGTCCGAGCAGTGTTCAGCGGAGGAAAGCACCTTCGCTGGCGTAGCGTAACGAGTTCGCGAGAAGGAAGGGTGTCCTGGTGGCGGAGTAAGAAGAGGGGGGGTGTCTCAGAGGGGCGGCTGCCCTCGCCCGGGCCGGCGCTGTTAGAGACCGGAGTGGGGGGGGGGGGATGTCCTCCCCCGCGCGCCCGTGTGTGTGGGGGGGTCACGTGGCACGCGCAGTCTCCGCCCGCATCCGCCTGGCGTCGCCGCCGCCGCCGCGCGTCCTCCACGGGCCAACAGGTTGATTCCGGCGAGCCTCTTCGGACGACCTGCGCCCGCCAGCGCCGTTTTCTCGGCACCATCTGCCGCAGGACCACGCCGCGTCGTAGCCGCTCGCGCGAAAACCCAGCATTCTCCGACAAGCGCACAAAGCGCACGGCAAGCGCGGAGCTGCTGCACCCCGGAAGTGAAACCAGCGCGCGCGATCATCTCTCTGGACCGCGGCTCGGTCTCCGGAGAGCGGGAGGAGCGACCTCGACTATCGGATCGCCACTGGTCTCCCTCCCACATCGGGCGTCCCCCACCACCGCTCCCCCCCTTCGAGACTACTCTCCCCCCGATCGCTCGGCTACTTCTCCCGAGTGGCATCTGCGTCTGGTTTCGGTTTCAGTTTGCCCCTTCACCGCTCACCGAGCTCTCGGTTTGCGGAGTGCAAAAGGGGGGCTTTGGTGCTTTTGACGCTTGCGTCGTGCTCGCGTCTTCGCCGAAACGTAGCCTCGTCATCGTTGCTGGAACCTTCGCCGCACGCTGGTCGTCATTGCTGTGTGTCGCGCTGACCATCGCTGTGTGAGGCTGTGAACGGCGTGCTGTGTTCGTGAACCTTGTGTCGACCTGGACTTCTGCGTCATATCCTCTCCTGCCGCAGACGCCTTGATGTGAGTAGCCTTAGGATTACGTGTCATTGCCCCCACTTCACTTTGTTCGACGAAGGCCGGTGAATTCTAATTTGTTGTAGTGCATGCATGATTATAGACATGAACGTGTAAGGCACACTGGGCAACACAAATCTCAGGTTTCTTCTATCTATACTAGAACAAATTAGCAAGTGACACACCAACAGTACTGTACAGCTTATGAGCGACTTGATTTGTTTTCTGCCTAGAACATTCGTTTTGAAGATTTATGACCAAGGTGCAGATATGTCAGAATGAGATGGGTGTGAGACTTCTTTTACGCAAAACAGTCATCCAGAAAGCTTACACTTTTGCTTACTTGTCATCTTCGCACTATACTTCGAGTTGTCGCACTCCTCGTAGAGCCATGTTTATGCTAAGTCAGTCTCTTTCGGGAATTCGGCATAGGTATATTAAGTCGCTGTGCTAGCCCACTACCTTGCGTTTAATAGTCCTTGGTGCAATTTTTTTAACAACCCACCTGGAAACAAACCCCCTGGGCAGTAGTTATACGAATTTTAGAGGCACCCGGCGTGTTAACATTCCAAAGGACTTCATTTCTAATATAACAGTTTAGGAAAGAACACGGATTAGTGGCTATTGGCTTTATCGAAGCAAAAGCCTAGAATAGTTCAGAATCATGGCAGTTCATGGTATATAACTCTAGACTCTAAACGCACTTCAACTGCACATGTCACCTCAGCTAGCTTAATGACGGTGGTTCTTCTCTAGTTGTCAATTTTACTCGTGATTTGACTACAGCTGCATGGAAAATAGACGCTTTGACTTGTCATGTTTTTTTTTTTTTATTCTTGCCCTTATAAGGCGACTCTAGATGTCACCACTGTGTCAACACTAATGCACCACATACGTGGTAGACGGTATTTACAACAAAGACCATGCTGTTGAACATTAACGTGGATTCTCAAGCAAGTGATGTAGCTTGAGGTTTTTTTTTTTTTTGAAGCAAGCTTAAACCCAATGCAAGGAGAGGCTCCTCAAACTTTGTAGTAATACAGCAGGTTGAGAAAGTGAATTTTATGATGATTTCAATCACTTCTAAACAAAAAATTAAAAAGAACAGTACTATAGTGTGTGTATACTAATAGCACGGGACTCGTATAAGATGTCGCTGTTTCTTCTTTCAATTCGCATGTTAAATCGTTTTATTGCATATTCAGTATTGACTGTTCTAATGCTCTAAAGTTGAGAGTTACCGCAAGCTGATAAACAGAAACACCACAGCACAGCATGCTGATTACACTAAAGCTGTGGAGCACAGCACCCCTGGTAATAGTAGGCTGCGATGGAGCGGGTTTTATAAAGAAGTACGTGGGAGAATGGGCAAATGCGTGTATCCGAATTTACTAAGGGTAAAACTTCGTATGTCTCATGTTAACGTGACCTTGAACGAAAAAACTGCGTGTATAGTACGGAAAGTCGCATGGGCCCCACGTGCCTCGTGAACCGTTGCGCGTTCGCTCAATCGTTCGCGCGATGGAAGGATGAAAAACTTTATTGGGGTCCTGAAGGATTCCACCCCCGTTTTATAGGGGTAGGGTCGCGGGCCGCTCCCACGTAGGGACGGGGAGGCCCAGCCTCACCGCCACATCGTAGGCCTTCTGGACAGCCTTGAGTTGTTGTATGAGGACCAGGCCCCGTAAGCATTTCGTGAAAAGCATTTTCGGAAAATTCTTGATTTTTTTTTCTGTAAATAGGGGCACCTTCAGAGCGTGTGGTTAAAATAGCTGCGATTGTGGCAGCCCAGACAAAGTTCTGAATTGTCGGAGTAATGGCTATAGGTTATGAGGCTAGGGTATGTTCCCGTCTGAAGCATGCGAAGGGAGATTGCCTGTGGCCTAGACAACTTTTCTTGTGGCATTGGAAAGGACATATGGCCTAATTGACAGTGTTTTGCGACCTTTTTGAAGGTAGTCAAAATGTCCCTAAAATGAATAATGGGGGCTGATTCCTCTGTCTGAGCTGCGCGAGTCCCAGTGCGGTAAGTGAAGCCTCGCGCATTGAAAAAAATAAAAGTAGTAAACTGGCTTTCACGTGCACGTCCGCGCCTCGTCATCACGGCGTTCACGTGATATAAAGTGTAACAGTACAATGTATATAGCCAAACCGGGTGGATTTTGCCTTCGAGTAGTTCAAGGCGAATGCGTTAGGGATTTTTTTTTTAAAGACGATAGTCTTTCTTGGGGTACTTCAACGCAAAAATTGTTGTCTATCTGTACATTTGTCTGTTTGTCCGTTGTAACGATACCCACAAACTAGGGTGGCTACCCAAACGGCCCCAAGCAATACTTTCAGTCTCAATGGTTAACCCCATCCGCTGCGCCCACCAATATTACTCAAGTTTCATTGTTCAGACTTGTGCAATTGTCAATTAAAAAGCAATTATTGCGCATATATGAGGCACCATAACAACACGTCAATAGTTTGTATGTGTGGCTTTATACTAAATAAGGCACACATGAGTAATTATAAGGACCGTCGCGTTTATCACGCTGCGCTGACAGTGCAATACGATGCTCAAAAAGGCAAGTGTTTCCAACGTTTTCGCTAAGACGACACGGTGGCGGCACCTGCCCGTCGCTTTGCGTTCTGCACCTTATCGCCTCCGAGACAGGCGCGCATCTTTCTCCGTGGTTGCGCACGCCTTCCATTGTTTTCGAAGATGACTGCCAGATAGCGCTCGTGTCTAACGTGCCTCGACGCGCTCGATCGCCTCCACTGCACAGATCGAGACTCTCTACACGCAGTGCTTCTAGAATACAATTTCACCAATTTTCTCGCGCAGAACATCAAATAAACGTTTTGTTCACTCTCTCCACACGCCAGACTATCGTCTTTCGACGACATTTGCTGTGAAACATGCAGATAAGGGGCCATTTGTTTATTGTTTCTGTCAACACTATGTGCTTCGAGGTACCTAGAGCTTAAGCATTTCAAAGTTGCGTGACAGTGTGCAGGAAAGTTACAAAAAAAAAATAAAGCAGGGAGCTAGACGGGATGTTTGTTTGGCCTGCTATCCTGCAGTGGGTGGAGGAAACATTTGTGCTCGTTCGAATATTTAAGCGCAGGCTTTCCGCAGCCGAAGGCGTACTTCTGTGTGTTCCTGTCTCGCTCTGCAATTTCTCTCCCTTTCCCAACTCGGACTGAAGAATTAACTCAGTGTCTTTATCTAGTATATATAGGCTGAATGTGAGATTGTCCTAAAGTATTCACACATATACGGGTAATAAATCTTGAGAAACTGTCCGAGCATGTCAAAAGTGCAATTGAACGGTGCTCAACATCTATAGCGACAGACTGAACTGACGTTTGCTGTTTAGCAATGACCTATTATACTTTTAGCCCTATGTTGCACCACCAGGCGGATTCTACGCAGCTGGGAAAACCGCTTCTGGTTAAAAATGATCGAAGGTCGCGAATGAGGAGAGCTTGAAATGATTAGACGCTCTGGTGAATACGACAAAGTTAGTTAGTGCGCTTCATTCAAATGAGAAGACTTGATGCAAGTCATTCCGGCATGTCCTATCACCGAAAAATCTGGAACGTAATTATCTACTTCACCACAAACTCTATGGTTGTATTTGTTAGGGTCTGCTCTTTTCGCGAACAAGCTCAGTTTCATAACATGGGCTAGTTGTTATTATTTAAATACGATATTACGATATATCGTTGCTGCAATATTGATGGGAAGTCTTCCAGACGGCAGCATTGACTCCGACTCAACGGAATAAGCACGAATTAATGCCGGAGGGAGTGTCTGTTTTGAAAATGTCATGTGTTAAAACTTAATTGCATTGGCAGCACCGTTACCAAGCCACAGTTGCGCTAGTAATTGCGCATCATATAAGGATACCTAATATGCATATAATGTTGCTGAGAAAAGCCTGCAGAAGAATATAACAATGCGTTGCATGTCAGTTGATCTCAATGCACAGCAATGTTCCATATAAGTAAAATATATAACGCCGCGCGATGCTCGGAGCCTTAATAAAGTTTCAGGGGAATAAAAGGGATAACTATACACTGTGGTACTACTGCACATTATTGCACATTGCATTTATTATTTCAAACATATTTTTGGCACTTTTTCGTGTCTATTTGTGCATGTCCTATCGGGATTCAGCTTATTTTTTGTGTTGTCGATTGTATGAAAATTCCATCGCATTTCTATACAATAGAAAAACCATAAACACGGTAGTTATGACAGCTTAATCAAATGTACGCCTTATGGCAGTATTGACACGTCGTACCCTTTATGTTTACCCCACTTAGCTGATAATTTTATAAAGCCGCACGTCGACTGAAAACACCGTTAAACCGTAAAATTGTTAAATGAGAGTATTTCAAATGTTTATTTTGTTGTGCAGGAAATTGTTTTTTTTTTTTCACCCTTCAAATAACACGCTGTCAGCTCGCCATACCTGTTTAGTGGTATTACGCTCTTGCAAACTGAATTAAGTTGATATAGGTACAGCACAAAACATCATTTCACCATCTTAGAGTGAATGATAGATATTTCAGTCGGTTTTCATTGCATAACTGGCCGAAGTCTTGACGCATTCTGTTTTTCCGCGGTTTATTGAAGATTACGTACTGAATTCATAACCGGACGTTACCGCGTATCATATATATTTTTTACAGATATGAACAAAGGATTTATAAGCAGGTGATATTATCGATGTAAGTGAGTACAAGGTCAGCATAAAAGAAGGATTTATTTGGCGCTCGCTTCGGTTTCTATAGGTATCATCCACTACTTAAAATTGGCCGATGTCTGTGATAACGTTCCGCACTGTCTAACTCTTCACGAAGTATAACGAAATCAATCGTAACATATAGTTTTTTCTGCCGTGAATGCGTTCTCTAGCTTTTTTTTTTTACATGTAAAGCCAATAGAATTAAAATATGTGAGCAAGCCCTTCTTGCTGTATCATATATGATATTGTCCTGTGTCTGCAGTG